ATGAAGCTTTGAATAATATTGATTGGGTCAATGCCATGTATGAAGAGCTAAACAACTTCACAAGAAACCAAGTATGTGAGTTAGTTGAGAGACCTAAGGGTCATAATGTGATTGAAACCAAGTGGGTCTTTCGGAACAAGCAAGATCAAGATGGGATAGTAATAAGGAACAAAGCAAGATTAGTGGCTCAAGGTTACACTCAAGTTGAAGGTCTTGACTTTGGAGAAACATATGCCCCGGTTGTAAGATTGGAAGCAATTAGGATCTTGTTAGCCTATGCTTGTGCTCACAACATCAAGTTGTACCAAATGGATGTGAAGAGTGCATTTCTCAATGGGTACATCAATGAGCTTATGTATGTTGAGCAACCTCCCGGTTTTGAAGATGAGATGAAACCCAACCATGTGTACAAGTTGAGAAAGGCTTTGTATGGACTAAAACAAGCACCTAGAGCATGGTATGAGAGATTGAAAGATTTCCTACTCTCTAAGGGATTCAAGATGGGAAAGGTTGACACCACTCTCTTCACCAAGAAGCTTGAAATAACTTGTTTATGATGCAAATCTATGTTGATGATATCATCTTTGGATCAACAAATTAAGAATTTTGTGAGGAGTTTGGTAAGATGATGACAAGTGAGTTTGAGATGTCTATGATTGGAGAGCTTAGTTACTTCCTTGGTCTTCAAATCAAGCAAATGAAGAATGGCACATTTGTGAGTCAAGGCAAGTATATCAAGGACATGCTCAAGAAGTTTGAAATGGATGAGTAAAGCTATTAGTACACCAATAGGGACAAGTGGAAGCTTGTATAGTGATGCTAGTGGCAACATGGTGGATCAAAAGATGTATCGGTCTATAATTGGAAGCCTACTCTATATGACCGCATCAAGACCGGATGTGATGTTTAGTGTATGCATGTGTGCTAGATTTCAAGCCTCACCAAGAGAAAGTCATTTGAATGCAACTAAAAGAATATTGAGGTACTTGAAGCATACACAACATGTTGGATTATGGTATCCCAAAGGAGCAAGATTTGAGTTGATTGGATATTCAGACTCCGACTATGCGAGATGCAAAGTTGAGAGAAAGAGCACATCGGGCATATATCAACTATTGGAAAGATCACTTGTATCTTGGTCATCAAAGAAGTAAAATAGTGTAGCACTTTCAACCGCCGAAGCGGAGTACATTTCGACCGATAGTTGTTGTGCACAATTACTTTGGATGAAGGCTACTTTGATTGATTTTGGAATCAAGTGCCATTGCTATGTGACAATGAAAGTGTTGTAAAGCTCACCAACAACCTGGTTCAACACTCAAGAACAAAGCATATAGATGTATGTCATCACTTCATAAGAGATCACCAACAAAAAGGGGACATTTGCATAGAGAGTGTGGACACCGAAGATCAACTTGCCGATATATTCACCAAGCCACTTGATGAGAAAAGGTTTTGCAAGCTAAGAAATGAATTGAACATACTTGACTTCTCCAATATGTGTTGATGCACCCCCATTATATGACATGCCTCTTCTTCGAGCAAAGCAAGGTAAAAGTTGATTGACATATCATCCATCCATTGCTAAGGACTTATTTAGTGCATCTAGTCATTCCTATCATGTTCTAGAATCATTCATGAAAATCAAATAAATTTTATGCTTGTATGGTACAACTATTGCTTGTATATTTGAAATGATCTAGTGGTAGCATATGACATGTTTATGGGCTTGTAAACCTAGTGTTTAATTTAGAAAATGAGCTATGAGTGTTTAACTCAACATGGTACAAGATAACCCTTATTTGGAGGTGTGAAGAAGCTTGTACTTGGATCAAACCGAGTTAAATATCTTTTTGCAAGGAATCTAGATTGAACCAAATTGGGAAAATGATCCTCATTTCACATGATTTCACCCCAACCTATCTATAATTTAAGCTCACCTTTTGTGGTAATTGTTGACAAAGGGGGAGAGAACCAAAGATATGAGTGATAGGGGAGAAATAGTGGGGAGAGAAAATATATGACAAAGAAAGGGGATCAATTAAAATTTTGAGCATACAAATAGGGGGAGCAAGCTCATAAACTTGTATGGTGCATTTTGTATGTGCATTTCATATATTTGCTTGCACGGTACAAAGTTTTGAATTTAAATATCCATGCTTGTGTGATGTATGCTAGTCATAGGCCTAAATGATGAAATGAAATACTAGACTCATGATTCTTGATATGAAAACTAGACCTTTATTTATAATGTTGATCTCATGGGGTATTCTAGTTCTTATGTATGTCTAGTTACTAATGGTGCTAAGGATGGTATAATGGTGCACTCCGATTGGTATCACACTTCAAAGGTCCATCTCCTATACCTTAGCATCATTTGGTAGAAATTGACTCATATATTTCCTATCTAAGCATATGTGCAAGCTTCAATCCAAACTCTTAGCACATATGTAGGGGGAGCAATTGCTACCGTTTGGAGTTCATGAAACTTGTCCATATCCTTTTACAAATGGTAAGTATGCTTGGGCAAGCAACATGGATTCAATTGAATTTCAATTCATATCTTTGTGTAAGGGTTGCCATCAATTACCAAAAAGGGGGAGATTGAAAGCTCTAGTTTAGTTTTGGTGAATTGATGAAACCCTAAGTGCTAACCTAGTTTATCAAGTGATCATGATATAGGTAGCACACTCCAAGTGGTCGAGCAAATGAAGATCATAACATGATGTGGTGGCGCCATGGTGATGATCAAGTACTTTGACTTGGAAAGAAGAAAGAGAAAAACAAAAAGCTCAAGGCAAAGGTATAAACCATATGAGCTATTTTGTTTTGGTGATCAAGACACTTAGAGAGTGTGATTATATTTAGGTTTGATAGCTGTACTATTAAGAGGGGTGAAACTCGTATCGAAATGCGGTTGTCAAAGTGCCACTAGATATTCTAACTCATTGCATATGCATTTAGGATCTACTGGATTACTAACACCTTTGAAAATGTTTGTGAAAATATGCTAACACATGTGCACAAGGTGATACACTTGGTGGCTAGCACATTTGAGCAAGGGTGAAGGAGATAGAGAATAAAGGAACTCAGTCTCACTGTTTTCACTATGACCGGACGCTGGTCTTGGGTGGACCGGCGCATCCGGTCAGGCGTGGCAGAGAAGACGCCAGTGTCGGTGATGCACCGGACGCTGGGTCCAAATTGACCGGACGCTAAATGTCTGGGTCCGGTCGAACTGAGGAGTCAGCACTGTGTCTAGGATATTACACCGGACGCTGTTTTGTATCCGGTCGAGGAGGACCAGACGTGTCCAGTCGAAGAAAACCCGGTTTGGGACCTTACTGTAAACGATCGGACGCTGGGGTTGAGCGTCCGGTCAGTTTTGCCGGAGCGTCCGGTCAGAATATAACCGTTGTGGTCTGGCGGCTCAGTTTGAAATCAGAATGACACGTGACTTACATCTGTGGACCGGACGCTGGTCCAGGGTCCGGTCAGAATGATCGGTGCGTCCGGTCAGCACGCGTTTTGCCCAGTGAAGGGGTATAACGGCTCTATTTCGTGGGGGCTTCTATTTAAGCCCCATGGCCGGCTCTAGCTCACTAACTAGCACATTCTCATGAACCTAGCATACTTGTGAGCTTAGCAAAAGTCCTCCCACTCATCTCCATCATTGATCCATCATCATTGTGAGATTGGGAGAGAATCCAAGTGCATTGCTTGAGGGATTGTATCTAGAGGCACTTGACATTCGTGTTGCGCTGCGGATTTCGCTTGTTTTATCTTGGTGATTGCCACCACCTAGATGGCTTGGAGCAGCGGTGGAGGATTGGCATGAGTTGGTGATTGTTCGTGGCCATCTTCGGTGATTGTAAGGGGAGTTGTACCTTCCCGACGGAGTGCCAAAAGGTAACTCTAGTAAATTGCTTGTGTCATTGAGTTACCTCACTTGTGGGTCGGTTCTTGCGGTGTCCTATCGTGTGGACGAGGTTTGTGAAACACCTCTTAGCCACCGAACCACCAAGTGTTGGTCGACACAACGGGGACGTAGCGTGTTGGCAAGCACGTGAACCTCGGGAGAAAATCGAGTGTCTCTTGTCTTTGGCATTCTCCCGGTGATTGGATATATATTCATCTTGTGATTGGTTCATCCCCTACACGGCGGTATAATCAATCCTACTCACTTATTTACTTTCTTGCAAACTAGTTGATACAAGCTCTTTAGTGTAATTAGAATTGAGAGCTTGCTTTATTATTTACATTCATCTAGTTGAGCTCTTTAGAGTAGCAAGATTGAGAGATCTTAGTGAGTAGTTACATAGCAAGTTTGTGTGCCTAAGTAATCTTTGCAACTAGAATTGTTGGATAGGTGACTTGGAACCCTTGTAGAGCTAGAGCAAGTTTGCATTATGCCATTTATCATACTAATCAAATTGCTCTAGTTGATTTGTAGTTTTCAAATAGGCTATTCACCCCCCCCCCTCTAGCCATATTAGGACCTTTCACCCAAGTAGTGGAATTTAAATGTACCCTGGTCAGAATCTTCGTTTCACTGTTAGTCAAGGCAACCAAAGATAATGCACAATATGGTTCACTGGCATCCTTCTTTTCTTTTGTCCAATTCCCCTGTATCTTTACGCACCCTTCTCCACGGCGCCGCCCTGCCGGTGAGCCGCGCCGGCGGCCACCCCGGCCTCGGAGGCCTCGTACCTCCCCTCTCGTCCTCTCCTCCTCTCTTCCGTCCAGGGGCAGCCTACTAACCTCCCGCGACACCACGAAGTTCGACATCGCCCTTATCTCCGTCCGTGCATCGACCCGCACCGCCGTATCCTCCGCCGGGTGGTCCTCCTCGGCGATTCTTGTCGTCCGTCATCAACTTTCGTCGCCCTGGTTTAGTTTACATCCTGCGCGTGTGGATGGCGCCTCGGGTGACGCGGGGGCCACGGCCACTGCCGACCTGGGGTGGACGCCACCGCAAGGGGGCTCCAAGATGCAGTTCCATGGGCTCGCCATCGCGGGCTGCCGCCGTCGCCGGGGCCGCGGCCGCTGCAGCTGCCATCGCACCCTCTTCCTGGAAGCCCCACCGTGAGCCCTCGTCCCAATTGCCTATTGGCCACGACGCCTCAGCCGTCGTTGCCAAGGTCGCGGTCGACCACTCTTCAGCCAGCTCCAGTTCCGGGTACTGCTCGCCGTGGAACGAGGTCTTCACCAGCTCTCTCCAGCCTCCGTGCATGTCCTCGCCGTCTGGGTGCTCTCCCCAACAGCCTGGGCTAGCCACTTGTGTGGCTGATGCGGATGGGGCGGATGCAGTTGTCGGTGCTTCTTCGGGTAACCCATCTGCTGCCCTCCAGTCCTCGTTGCCGGAGGAGGATGAGCCTCTGTCGCCTGCACTTCAAAAGAACGTGCAATCGAGATTTTGTTTCGCTTCGATTTGGCACGCAAGAAGAGAATACTCTCTCCCGATGAGCTTGATCTGATCAATGATCTGAAGTCCCTATTGCCCCGTCTTGAGGCAGAGATTGCAGAAGCCGATGGGGCGGATGCTGTTGTTGAGGAGGAGGAGGAGCCCTTGTCGCCTGTACTTCACATGGAAGCTGCATTGAAGGTTATGTTTCGTTTTGGTTTGGCACGCGAGATGAGAATACTATCCGCCGATGAGCTTGATCTTTATGATGATATGAAGTCCCTATTGCCCCGTCTTGAGACGGAGATTGGAGAGGATAATGCGATGGGGCGGATGTTGTTGAGGAGGAGGAGGAGGAGGAGGAGGAAGAGGAGGTGGACGAGGAGGGGGTGGAGGAGGAGCTCTTGTCGCCTGCACTTCAAAAGGAATGTGCAATCGAGATTTTGTTTCGCTTCGATTTGGCACGCAAGAAGAGAATACTCTCCGCCGATGAGCTTGATCTGATCGATGATCTGAAGTCCCTATTGCCCTGTCTTGAGGCGGAGATTGGAGAAGTTAATGCCGATGGGGCGGATGCTGTTGAGGAGGAGATTGGAGAAGTTAATGCCGACTTTAAATGGGCGTTGAAGGATGTTTTGTCTTGATTTAGAGGATGAAGAGCCCTCGGCCGATGAGCTTCATCTTTACGATGATATGAAGTCTTCAAATGGCCTTGAGGCGGAGATTGAAGGTTATGTTTTGTCTTAGAAGACCCTTTTGGCACGCGAGATGAGAATACTCTCGGCCGATGAGCTTCATTATGGTTATGATGATCCATGAAGATCTCCAATTGGCATGCCGATCATAGCGACCAAGGCGAGAGATTGAGAGGGATGCTACGCCTTCAGCTCTCAAGTCATCTCCTAGCATCGTAACCTTAGAAGACGATGAAATCACTAAAGCTCTTTACGATCACAGTGTCCATCATCGCAGGCTCCCAATTTTCAGGGATATCTATCTAGAATGAACGAGTGTCACAGCCTTATCATTCCCGACGGTCGCTGATGAGTGCATTTGGTTTGTCTGTTAATCATATCATATCATATAAGATCCTCTTTCTGAGACAAACTTTTTACTGTAGCCCTGTTCATCCACAGTCCTACCATCCCAGCCGTCCACGTCTGCCTGCCTCGCCTACAGTCTTCCCATCCCAGCCGTCCACTTCTGCCTGCCTCCAGAAACGTCTCCGCCCCGACCCGATCACGGCTGCAGCCACCTCTTCCTCTCCACCAGGCCTGTCAAAGTGAAAAAAAGAACACGCAGCGTTGCACCTCGTCACATCCGCCTCCTGTTCGTCCCCTTCCTTTGCCGCTCCATGCGCACATGCCACGCCCGGCAGCCCCGCAGGCTCCGCGCCTGCTCCTCTGGTTCTCCATCGTCTCCTGCACCTCGCCCCCTCCGCTCCCGGCCGTCGTCCAGCCGTCATCTTCGTCCACGAGCCCGCTCGCTCCTCCCTTTCATCACTGGATCTGCCTGCCGCGAATGGTAGTGGGCCAGCGGTGGAGAGCGTTCTCTGCTGGCGACGACTGGGCGGCCGTTGCCGCCGCCTCCGCCCTACACCACGTGCCCAGGCCTCCATCTTCGGCGCTTCTGCCGGTGACGGCCACCAAACAGGTACGCGCACCCCTTCTCTTCCATTCCTGCTGTGTGAAATTGAGCACCCAAACCCTAGCTATCTGTATTCGGATCTGATCTAATCTAGTTACAAGTGTGGATACATGTATTATGCCTACAAACTTTTTCATTTTCTTTTTTGCGGAAAATATTGGCTCTGACCCAGTAAAGGAGAGAGTCCAGTACAGTTTATTTGGTGATCATCAAAGTTATCCCAGCAAGTAGCAGAAACTATTTTTTCTATCAGCTTCGGTTTCGTCAGATGCTGCGCGGTTTCAGGAGGACTTCAAGGACGATCATCAATGTCGACCTCCTTGATTTGTGGCCATGATGATGCTCAGGTCCGCCACTGCACCGCGGTGATCCAGGCCAGTCCGAGGCCTTGATTGCTGATATTGTTGCTTGTCTGCAATTTTTCAGTTCGAGGCTCTGCATTCTTATAAATCCATAGCCGAGCGCATGATGATAGAACAAGGACATCGACCTGAACATCCATCCAACCAAGGTCAAGATGCATTGTGTTTTCAACAATTCTAATTAAGCTGCATCTTCTAACTGCGGTTCTCATTGAACCAAATGTGTTGTGTGCTCCTCCACCTGCACCTTTGGTCGCTGAAAATATTACTAATTATTAACTGTGGTAACCTACTGTAAATGTTGCTGTCGAGTCATTGTCTTCATAGTTTACTGTTTCTTGGCAGCCATGAAACGCCTGAGGTTTCAGGAGTCTCACGGAGACACTGTCCATCAAGGAAATGCTTTAAACAGGCTACACGTAACTCGGAACTTCGTGAAGTAAGTCCTTTTGGATACCGCTTTATGTGTTCATCAGTACACAGCAATGGCAAATCTGTACAGCTATGTTTCAAATTCCATCTTTATTCTGTGTAATTTCCCATGCAGAGCTATCCAAATATACAGCCATATCAACTAACCTATTTGATGCATTTTGCTTTGAGTTGCATTATTTGTATTCAGTAATTGCATTTTAGACCAAAGGTATTCACCCAGCTTTATTAGAAAGCGTATCGAACACCCTGATCCAGCACTGGGAACACCAGCTTACAATGACGAGCTTAAAAGAAGACCGAGTACCTCAACCAGAACTAGAGCTGACAACTCAGGATACCAACGCCTACCTCAACAGGTACCAGACTAAAACCAAAAGAACAAGCAACAGCGTAAGCATTACCCCCATGGGGTTACAGGATTAAAAGCAGGCTACATCGCCGACGCAGCATTAGCCGAAATCAGATTGATCATTTCCTCCGCCATGGGCTTCAGCTTTGGTTTTAGAAGGGGACGCCAGGTCTTGGTCAGCATCAGCGTTTTGTAGACAAGCGCCACCGGCGACGACAGGACCTTCTTGTTGAACACCACTTCATTCCTAGTCTTCCAGATTGACCATAGAGCTCCTGCACATTATTCAGTAATTGCATAGATGTGTTGTTCTATTCTATGCACTACCAGAGTGAAAAGCTCTTTTCTTTGCATATGTAATTTGCACTATGCGGTGCATCCAGACACATTTACAAATTCACCTATGCACGTAGTGCCAAATAGTATTGATTATGATCCGTACTGCTAGATCAGTAACATCAGTAGTAGAAGCATAAGCAAGTGTACAGGGATGCTTGGCATGCATGCATATTTTGAAATTTTTAACAAGATGTTATTTCCTTATTGTAAATGGCTCCACTGGAGAGAGGGTGCTTTAAAAACTGCCTTGGCAGTGCTCATTGTTAATGCTTGCTTTGCTCGATATGCCTTTGATTTTTTCAGGCTACCAGAGTAATATTGGAACTGCTACTACTAATATTTGACGACAGTATGATCTGTTAGATAGATCCATTGAGAAGCTTAATAACACATTGATTGATAAGCTTGGATCAGTTATGTACTTACATTAATATTGACCTTTAGGTTTCCTTCATGGGTTATGAGCATGTCTCCCAAGCTAAAACAGATGTTCAAAAAAACAAAGAAAAACAATCTTGCATGGTTATGATGCCTGAAAAAATTGCCCTTATATGCTAAAGAATACCACCTCTGGATTTTTCTACATTTTTTCTGTCGCGGGTCTATCAGGTTTCCTATATCTCTCAATCGGTTTCAATGAATGTCTGTATTGGTTCAGAGTTCCCTTTGAGGTCTTGGACCACCGGCTTGCCACATAGTATACTTATTTAAGCTACCTCCAAACAGGATCTGTGGTACTGCATAAATGGGTTCTGCAGTTTGGCTTCCACGCTTCCAAACACAGGATTTCAAGGAACGCTCAAGAGGTAATTCAAGGAACACCATCTTCTCAGACTCTTTATTGCTCACTGTACATGTTGCCTCTAATTGATTTGCATACTCTCATGTCCCATCAGTCCATCACTAACTTCTTTCCAGATCATTATATTTATTGGTCTGCTATCCTACGGCTAGCTTTGCATGTGATTCATTGTCATTTTATATTCTTCAGAACCATCTTAAGATTGTCTGCATGCTGAATCCATCAATTTTCTGCATGCTGAATCCATCAGTTCTCCATGTCATTCACCATCTTAGACTTCATGCTACACGATACAGAAATAATTGTTAAGAGTAATTCTTTTCTAGAATAAATGTTTCCGGCATGCTCAATCCATCAATCTTGCAGGTTTCCTTTGCTGACCATACTAAGATTGTCTTAAACTTTAACGACAGCCCTGTAGGATATGATTTTAGTGATGCCTTACCTGGAATAACGCATCTTTACTGGGCCATATTAAGGTTTGTGCTCTGTAAGCCTGTAGCTTTCCTTTCTAACCTTGCTGTACAGAGTATGAATCGATCTGAGTTATGCAGCCGTTTTCTAAAATCTAAAATCTGCAGGTGCAGCTACAGCTCATGACATGGTGGCATTTGCGCGACTGCATATAGCAGTGTTAGCTGTCCTCTCCAAAAATTGCTTGGTCTATGAAATTTTAGTTGCAAACTCACATTTATACTACAGCGGGTAATACATGCCTCCTATTACCCTCTTTTCATACGAGGAATGTGCTGTTCGTTATATATCTTCGTTCACTGAGATTGTTTTCAAATGTGGATTCTTTTCGCCTGCAATGGCAACTACAGGAGAACTATTTTTTTTCCAATGTACAATGCGCGCAAGTGAAGACATGTTTGGCAAATTGGAAGTGGTAAACTATAGCTTTTGATCTCACTGATTTCAGTTGTGCACAATTCGTGTCATTTTTGTACTTCTTTCACACTCAATATAGGTTTGCTTTCAAATCAAACATGAATATACGAGGTTTGCCACCGCGGCTGGACCCTCCTGGTTGACGACCATTGTGCGGATGTATCTCTTGTAGCAGGCATAGCTTAGTTTCTGGGGTTTTTTTTTTCTCTTGTTTTCTTGCTGTGTTCGTCGTTGTCTTGGGTTCGCGTCGGTAATCTTGGGATTACTTGCGACTCCTCTGTGTCAACTATGTGTTGCTTCGTGGTTTGTAACCTGTGCTACGAGGGTTCTCTCGTAGCTGCGTCGTGTATCTGTTTGGATGTTCTCTACTTCCTCTTAATGAAATACGTGCTACAGTGCACGTTCGAGAAAAAAAAACATGAATATACATGGCGATCAATGAGTCCATACATTCATATTTATTTATTTATTTTGCAAAGTGTGTGTGCCGCACACAAATGAACCACATCAACTTGGTCTGGGGAGGGTGTGCTTACATTCATAAATTTAGCATTGCCATTGCGGCCTGCAACCTTTCCTTTTTTCAGCTTTTGTTCACGCTTTTGTTCACGGACCATGTTCAGGCTACATAAAAACCAACCACTTATTCCTAACTGTATTACAAATCATCAGTCGTTTATTTTGCCACAGCTTTTAGTTACATGCATGATCTGTACACTTATCTGAAAACAACCTACTAGCTACGGATTGCCATTGTGTTTATATTCGTGTGTCCTGCCATGCTGCCTGGTGGCGTTAACTGAAAACGGCCGCACGAAAGCGCAGCAAATCATTACCCTGCCCGCAGCGAAGCGCGGGGAACCATCATAGTTTCTATTTTTCTAGTTCCATAGGGCAGAATCTAATCTCTCTTGTCATGATCTCTTCCTGAAGAGAGAAAGCTATGCTATACTACTACCTGAGTAAGCCGGCAATTGACCCGTTTTGCTTGCCGTCTGTTGAAGGTGAGCCTTCCTTGGTTTATGAGTTTGTCTCGTTTTTGCCCCAGTTTTACTTAAAGATAGAGAGTTTATTAAGCCGTGCGATCTTGGTATGGTATCTCGTCAATGAGCAGTATTCCATGGTACACCGTACACTTGACATTTCATCTGCATTCTGCATGCCATGGTACAGTACTGGCTCACTGAATTTGCAAGCATCGAATCGATCTGCATCGCAATACGCTTAGATCTCACAGTCGACCTGGTACAGAACACGTTTACATCGCAAAACGTTTTGGACTGACTGGTGATACAGTACGTTCTTGACAATTTTACACGCTACAGGCTAGCTAGACGCTACAGAGTACACAGCACTGAAGCTTTAGAAAAAGAATAAATAAACCGGAAAAGTTGTGCTCAGAGGTCTCCATCAGGGCGCTGCGCCGACGGCGAGCGCGAGAGCGAGACCTTCCTCTTGACCTTCTCGGTGGTCCTCTCCAGGGCCTCCTCGGTGGCCCTGGCCGCCGACTCCGCCGAGTGCTCCACCGTCTCCATGCTCATCTCCAAGGTTTTCTTGGTCACCGACGCCGGGCTCCGCAGCAGATGGTACCTTGCCACACACACGGCAGCCGTGAGAACACACGTCTCCCGATCCAAACGCGAAGGACACAGCGCGCGCGCCAGTAAACATAATCATCTACCGCGGCTCGGCCGGCCGGAGATTGAAGCACGCGAGCTTGGCCCAGGCGCGGAGCGCGTCGAGCCAGCGCTCGTGCCCGGCGAGGCCGATCGCCAGCTCCACCGGCTCGCGGGGCGGCCCCTGCCCCGGGGTCCCCGGCGCCGGTGGCGACAGCAGGAACAGCAGAACCGACGCCGCGACGAGCAGCACGACGACGGAGACGATGGCGGCGGCCATGCAGGTCGCCACAGGTCGCGCGGCGGCGTGGGCGCCGGCGCCACCCTTGCCCTTCTTGCCGTTCCTGTTGCTGCCGCTCATTGCCGCGGGCTGCAAGCTGGTGGTGATCGAGAGACGTCGTCGCCGCGCGCGGCTGGAACCGGTGGAGCGAGCGAAGTTAGGCGCCCCCCCGGACCCATGGCCATGGATGGATGGATTGGCCGGGAGCTTTCTTCGTTCGGGCGGACACGTCCAGCGACACGTGTTGGGCTCCAGGAGCCCGGCGGCCCGGAGCGCGGTTACGTGCCAGCGCACGTGTCAAGCCACGTCGGCTGCTCCTCGGTAAAAAACGAGCAGAAAAGATGTTTGTCATGGGAAGAAAATTCTGTGGACCCTATGTCATGACGAGGCGGGCGCGTCGCGGAGGAGTTGATTGCACGCGAGTGCCATACGTCGCCGGGCTGTCGAGTGCACGACGCAGGCCGACGGCACTGCTGCGTCGAGAGACCACGCACGGGCACGGCAGTGGTACTGATTCGTGGCGGCCACGCACGACCCATCGGGACGACGAGGCCTGACCTACCACTACCACTACCACTCTCTCTACCAGACCGATGGATCTTCTCACTCAAAGTACGTACTACGTGGAAGCTAGTACTCCTACCAAGCTAGCTGAACGACCACTGATCTGAACACACCTGGAGTTGGAGACCGTTCACCAGACGTGTTTACTTACTCCTGCTGTCCTGCCCTGATGACAGGGAATAATAATCGGCGTATCGTTCCCGGAAACTTGGGCCTTGGTTCAGTTCACATGCGACTGCGAGGAACCAAACCTGGCTAACAACCACGGCCTCTGCTGTCTGCTCTACTCGACGCTAACCATTGAGCTAATCCGAATTTATAATGGGGCAGGTTTGTTTACACACTTGCTAAAAAGACAAGGGGAGAAGGTGTGTTGTTAGTGCCGTGCCGGCGGGGGATTGGAATGTAGTGCGATCGATTAGGCTAGCTACCAGGCTCGACCCGTGTAGAATACCGAACCGTCACTGTGTGTTTAACCAACTCACTCATGGAGACACGGGTTAAGATTTGGCATTACAAACTCGTTTACATTTCTTGTTTCTTTTGTTATTAAGAAACAGTTAAATATGACTGTGGACATGTAACACTAGTTCGTTTGTCCACTGCAAGGAACACGAACAATTGTAATGCAATGTCTCGAGTTCAAAATTCAGTGGGACACCACACAATTAACTTTTGACTCACAGTCAAAACCTGGTGAATTCAAAGATGGTTTTATTTCCAGAAGAAAAAAGTACAGTAAAAAGCAGAGACAGCCCCTGGCTCCACCGACCCGCGATCCGAAGCCAACACGGTAGGAAACCCGCCGGCCGCACTGTCCGTTCCAAACCCTCCCCAGCTTAAAACGCGCCGATCCAAGAAAAGCACCCCCACCCAAACGCACACACAGAAACGAGCAAACGGCTTGCACGCGCGCGCCATGCCCCACCGCCATCACGACGCCGCCGGCGGCGGCGACGAGGCCCCGTCCCCGCGGCCCTCGGCGTCCGGCTGCTACGCGTTCCTGACGCGCTCCCACCGCGCGGGCGCCTACCGCCGCCTCCACTCCGCGCCGGCGCTCGAGGCCGAGGCGGCGGCGGTGAGGGTGGAGGTCCGGACGGCGACGAAGGGGAGGGCGAAGAAGAGCGTGTTCCACGTCGACCCCGCCGTGCTGGAGGCCGGGCCGGTGAGCCGGCTGCTGGCGGCCGCGGGGCGGCGGGCCCCCGGCGGAGGCGTCGCCGTCGACGTCGACGCCTTGCTGTTCGAGCACCTGCTGTGGCTGGCCACCAAGGCCCGCGACGGGGTGGGCGGCGACGGCGAGGAGGACTCCGCCGCTGCCGCTGATGACCTTTCCGAGATCGTCGAGTTCTACTCGCAGGACGACGACGACGACGACGACCGTGACCACGAGTTAAGCTTGTAATAATAAATTCCCAGTGGCTGGCTAAGTTAAAAGTAATCTGTATTCTTAATCCGCGTCATTTAGCTCTTGTCCTTCATGTGTATAATGCTATACATGCAGTATATAATTATGATCAAGATACTACCAATGTAGTAACAATGGGAACGAATAAGCTACGTGCTCTGGCTGTCTACAACTTAAATTTGTAAGCATGCATGCTTTATATATGAAGAAACTTCGTTTCCATGTGCCAATCAAAAATTAACTCTACAGTGTTAATCTCAGATTAACACTCTGGTTTTCCAAAAAGAAAATGTCAACAATTTGTTTTTTTTTCATACAAGATTTTTTTTTTTCATACTAGCTAGCTTATTCGGGCTATCAGTCAACATCATTTTAGTAAATAGCCTGGCGTCGCGCATGGAGAGAACCTTGTCGGCCTCGTTAAAGCGCGGTTGCTTCAAGGCTTGAGCTGACGACGATCCAGGCGACGCTGACGGCGACGATGCGTGTGTGCTGTGATGTGCAAGATGAAGCGGATAAGCTAGGCAGAGCAGAGCACACGGGCGGGCTTGCGCGACGGAACGGACTGGACTGATTCCCGGGAACAGCTCTCCGGTGATGAGTGATCTGACACTGAGCGCGAGAGCAGACGTGGCAATGCAACAACCGGCGCGCGCGGGGACACATGCATATGCCACCCACGGGCCGGCGTGCGTCGTCGTCCCTGTTGGTCCGGTCCGATCCGACTCCGATCGCTGTTACCGTGAGTCGTGAGATGACAACGAGATTTGACAGGCCCGACCGTGACAGCTGAGCGCGCATGTGTATGTTCCACGGAAGGACACTGGACACGTACGTTCGTCGCTGCGAGCCGACGAGCGGAAACAAGAAAACCGAATGGGAAAGTCACGGGGCCTCCTCGGCAGTGTAGGATGGCGACTGGCAGCAAACAACACATGGATCGATCGTGGCCAGCTCGATGAGTCGATGCCGGCCGAGTGCGAGAGCGAACCCCACGTAATGGCCAGCTGATCGGGGGCAGCACGACACACTTGACACTTGCGCATCGCAAGATTCGCAGCTCGCACCAGTGTGCCGCCGCGGCGCCGCGCACCATCCGCCCGATTTCCTCCGAAACACCCGCGCGCCTCGAGTGATTTCTCCGCTCGCCGCACCGGGTCCTTCGACTCCTTCCTCTGCTTTGCTTCGGCGGGGGTGGGCTGAGTTCCAATCCAACGGGACCACGGCCGAGCGTGTTCGCCCATAGGTCTACAACCACAACTAGTCAATTGGTCACGCGTGCTATTCTGTTCTGTGAAACAATACAGTACTGTATGTGCTCAAGACCAGAAGCATGACCAAGCCATTTCAAAATACTGCTTGCTGAACCAAGGATGATGTATCTGCTAGCGAACCTAAACATTCCGGCATTATTTCAGGCTTTGAGCCAGGACAACAAAGTACAAACCATTTCGAAGCAGCGTACGAGTATGCGGCTGATTTATGTGATATTTGTCTTCCCAAAAGCCCGGAGAAGGGATGGAAATGGATTGGATCGAGGCAGAGCGGATAATATCTCACCCATATTCTTATCCGCCTTTTTTTTTGTTGGATTCAGATCGGAGACGTATGGATGTGGAGCGAACGTGAATTTTTTTAATGTACATATTTAGAGAATTATATATTTGTCAAGAATTAATTTAGTAAAGAGGCAATAGCAACTAGTACACAAAAAACTTGTATTGCAGTCTATTTTGTGGCTATCACACTGACAATTAACGCTTACCAAGGTATGCACACTCACAAATGATAAGTTATTAGACAACAGGTTCTTAAATAAAAATTTAGCACATAAAACAACCAGATCACAAAATAAGATTTCTCAATTAACAAGCTTTTCTTTATCACGAATTCTTTTGGTTTTTAGTCTAGAGAAAGAAACTAATATCGTATTTCAAACATCAGATGGTCCGCGTAAAATTTACGAATAATCTATATCCACCGAATTTTGTCAATGTCATATCCTGCTCCACATCCGCACACAACCGAATTTGGATTATTGCACTTCTCCATGTCCTCAAAATTCCGATTCTGATAGGAACGGAGAATTATCTGCACAATTTCCACCCCTAGCCCTAAGCCATGACCTGCTGTTGTGTCTATAACACGTTTTTGTGGCAATTGTTACTGCCACACAGTGCAATATATTCAAGTGAGGAAATATATTTGTTGAAATAAACAAAGTACTGTACAGATCATCGAGAGGTGAAAGTGAAGGATATATCAGAACAAGTCAAAGTTTACCCGCAGTGGATCTAGTAAAACTATACAGTCAGTAGTAGCCAAAGACAGCTCCGAAGGTGTCCATCACTACCAGAGGTTCAATTACACAAATAATTGGGTACATACAGCAGTGTGGATTTTCAAATACACTATCTGCACAGCAATGTAAAATGGCAGCTCTGCACAAAAAAGGAACCATGACAGGTAAAACCATGCGTACAACCAGTTGAACGCGCAGACCATATAGACCACAGTCAAAAGAGAAAGCAATGCATGAGCTTCGATCTCTTCTTAAGTAGCGTGTAGACTCAACCAAGATGCGGACTAAGCGACCAATTGCCGGAACACCTTCATCATCTTCGAAGTTAATTAGATGGCCCCTGTTGGGAGCTCCTAATCATGTGACCGGGAGGCTGAGCACTGTATTCTTACTCATTCACCGGAGTCTATACACTTACCATGACTTCAAGCTAGTCTCGCAACGGTCTTGCTTCAAATCCACCTTCTTTCCTGCTCACTATGTTGTATGGCATGTGGGTTCCTAGTATTCTGTCCCAGATTGAGAAGAAGGGCTGAGAGTAGTTGTATTTGGTTCCTTGCAGCTGGTGATGAATGTCATGATAGGCAGTGTTATTTTGGAACAGGTGCTGGAAAATGTTATATGGTAACCAAAGCCCGCAGTGATCGTCGACTGTCTTGAGAACGGCGAAACAGAAGAAGAACACAGCAGTCCTTGGTGTCAGACCGGAGACCAAGAAGGAGATGGCACCTCCTAAGGTGTCCAAAAGTAGGCCCTCCAATGGATGGTTGTACAGAGCCCCAATAGCATAAGGAACAATCAGCCGATGATGTTGCGAGTGGATGTGCCGATATAGGAACTTATTTTGGTGCATGTAGCGGTGCACAAAGTATTGCCATGAGTCCATCACTAGCATTGCAATTAAAAACTGAAAGATCTGGACGATGATAGGTGGCTGAACAACAGTTATTGAGCTATCAGAAGTGACCTGCATATTATCATGTAGGATTGGGTTACAAAGGTCAGGTCACCATAACAGATGTTTAAAAACAAATGACAAATTCATGTATTGAATCTGGAACTCATCATCCTAACAAGAGAAAAACAATAATATAAACCTAATTGCACCTTCACCACCCTTGGCTACAAGCAAAATGCATGAGGTGCACAGGTTTTACGAAATTGATGCATAAGAGTAAACAGGTAGGCTAAAGCTACACAAGCAGGAAGCCAACTTCTTCACAAAAAAAGAAGAAACTGTAACATCACAAAGAAGCACATACAGAGCGCAGTGGCTCTCTAACAATAAACTATATTGACATATTATTAAGCTACTATGCTTTTGGAATAATTGGTAGTTTTGCATAGGCAGGATGAAGAGAACACATGCATATTAAAGAATAAAAGGAACCCAAGTATGCAAAGTGAAAAAGGTTCAAGCATCAAGGGCGAGCATACAATCTTAGAGCCATTTGCTACAAATATAGAAACATAAACATTAATGTGGTATCAGTTCCACAGACGAAAGGAGATCCATAATTTTCAAAAGGTTCATAAATTCAGGTCAGGGCAATCCTCTATAATGTACATACTACTGATCTCTAAACTACAATATTAAAATATATGGACTGAAAAGGTACTATTAAGGAGAAAGAATGCTATAGACGCTTGTACCATGACAGGAGTGTGGACAACATAGAGAAGTACAAAGTGGCAAAGAAGACTGCAAAGCGAGCTGTAAGTGTGGCAAAGGGTAAAGCGTACGAGGATCTTTACCAACATTTGAGTACGAAGGAAGGAGAGAAGGACATTTATAGGATGGCTAGGGTTCGTGAGAGAAAGACAAGGGACTTCAACCAAGTTAAGTGCATTAAGGATGAAAGTGAGCATCTCTTGGTGAAGGAGGATGAGATCCGACATCGATGGCAAGAGTATTTTGACAAATTGTTCAATGGTGAGAATACGGACACAACCTTTCAGTTGGATTGGATGACTCTTTTGATGACACCAATAGGCGCTTTGTGCGGGGAATCCAAGAATCTGAGGTCAGAGAGGCGTTGAAAAGGATGAAAGGAGGTAAGACGATGGGACCGGATGGTATCCCAATCGAGGTGTGGAAATGCCTCGAGGACATAGCTATAGTATGGCTAACCAAGCTGTTCAACCATATTTTTCGATCGAACAAGATGCCTGACAAGTGGAGGAGAAGTATATTGGTACCGATTTACAAGAATAAATGGGATATTCAAAGTTGTACTAATTACCGGGAAATTAAGTTGATGAGCCATACTATGAAGCTATGGGAGAGAGTTATCGAGCATCGCTTGAGAGCAATAACGCGGGTCTCTATGGACCAATTTGGTTTCGTGCCCGGAAGGTTAACCATGGAAGCCATTTTCGTAATAAGACAAGTTATGAAGCGGTATAGGGAGAAGAAGGACCTACACATGATTTTTATTGACTTGGAGATGGCTTATGATAAAATACCTAGGAATGTTATGTGGTGGGCTTTGGACAAACATAAAGTCCCAACGAAGTACGTCAGGCTCTTTAAGGACATGTACAACAATGTTGTGACTAGTGTCCGAACAAGTGACGGAGACACGAATGACTTCCCGATTAGGATAGGACTACATTAAGGGTCAGCTTTGAATCCTTATCTGTTTGCCTTAGTGATGGATGAGATCACAAGGGACATACAAGGGGACATCCCTTGGTGTATGCTTTTCGCGGACGATGTAGTGCTAGTTGATGAAAGCCGGACATGAGTGAATCAGAAACTGGAGTTATGGCGGGAGACTTTGGAGTCCAAAGGTTTTAGACTCAGTAGAACTAAAACTGAGTATATGAGATGTGACTTCGGCACTACTATTCGGGAGGAGGAAGATATTAGTTTGGAAGATCAAGTAGTGCCTAGGAAGGATACCTTTCGATATTTAGGATCAATGCTACAGAGAGACGGGGATATTAATGAAGATGTTAGCCATAGAATCAAAGTAGGGTGGATAAAGTGGCGACAATCATCTGGTGTCCTATGTGACAAAAGAGTACCATAGAAGCTAAAAGACAAGTTTTATAGGACGACGATTAGACCTGCTATGTTGTATGGTGCAGAATGTTAGCCTACGAAAAGACGACATGTTGAACAGATAAGTGTCACGGAAATGCGTATGTTGCGTTGGATTTGCGGTCATACAAGAAGGGATCGAGTTCGGAACGATGATGTACGTGATAGTATGGGGTAGCACCAATTGAAGAAAAGCTTGTCCAACCCTGGTTGAGATGGTTTGGACATGTCCAACGGAGACCTTCAGAGGCACCGGTGCGTAGTGGAATACTAAGCCAGGATAGTAACGTGAAGAGAGGCAGAGGAAGACCGAAGTTGACTTAGGTAGAAACAATAAAAGGAGACTTGAAATGATAGAATATACCCAAAGACTTAGCCTTAGATAGGAGTGCTTGGAAAACAGCTATTCACATGCCTGAACCTTGATTGCTTCTGCTGGGTTTCAACTCTAGTCTACCCCAACTTGTTTGGGACTTAAAAGGTTTTGTTGTTGTTGTTGTTGGACTGAAAAGGTACTACTGCGATAGGAATGTGAGCAGGATGCACGAAAATACAGTGATTTGCTGATTCCTATTGAAGTCACAAGCTGCTGCCCCTTATGTTGCAAGTAACACTGACTTCTATTAGATGGTGACTAATTTTCTTGACTACGTTTTTACCAGAAAATAGAAAGATTATGGATTGTTATTAAAGATGCAAGTGGATAACCGATGGTATTTTGTGGGTCAGCTAGCCTAGTTCATCATCATCAACAACAACAACAACAACAAAGCCTGTCAGTCCCACGCAAGTTGGGGTAGGCTAAAGTTGAAACCCACCAAGAGCCCCTAGTCACGGTTCGAGCACTTCAATAGCTGCTTTCCAAGCACTCCTATTCAGCTAGCCTAGTTCATCCCTCACCTTAAATTAATTAGGTGGAAATGACATTTTAGTTCATTTTAGCAAGTTTTGGGTCGACCCAATGACCCCAAACTTATGGGAGTTTCATCCCTAGTTGCTATCCCATCTTCAGTTAGTAAACTTCTTTCAAGGAGAAAACAAATAGCTTCACTCATTGATATTTGTTTGACATTATGAGATAACACATTCAAGGTCCAAAACCCTGATACCATGAAAACTGGTGATATTTAACACATTTGACATGTCTGTCCCTCCTATCCAATTTGTTAATGCAAGATGAGCCATCACAACTAACCAGCAGCACTCGTTCTTTTCTTTTCAAGCCTATACTACTTAATAGCCATTGCCAAATAGACTCTACATTCTGAAAGTTTCTAACACTCTTGAGTTGCTGATCATTTACCATATGTATTCAGACATTAATGGTAGCATGCTGGCAACTATATCTATATATGGTCACTGGCTTAAATGGCAAAAGTACCTGATAATAGCAACAAGGACGGTGAACAATTTTAGCAAAATCCAGCACATACCTAATAATATCAATGCTATCTTTATAACATAGTTGATATCGACTGACTGACTCTTAACTCGGTTTTGTTTATCTCAATGGCAGTACCACTAATTGAACTGAAACTCCGGAAATTAACTAAAATGCCAATGGACCAAGGCTGACTATCTCCTTACCATGAACAAGATCATCGCGACGATGGCCTGCACGAGCTGCTGCAGGAGTAGGCCGCGGACGACGGTGGGGAGACTGACGAGGTTCTTCTCCTCCTCCTCAGCCCGCGTGTGGAGCCTGTACCGCTCAAGCGGCCGGCGGTGAAGGATCAGCTGGTAGCCGCCGGCGTACACCCAGTAGAGAACGATGGGCGCGAAGGTGCCCATCGTCTCGTCGCTGATGTACCCTTCCCACGGAACCATCTCCACTGGTGTTCGCCTCTTCCTACCACCACAGGAAGAAGACGATGGGGCACTCCAGCACGGGCGCCAAGATTGGGTTTTGACGCCGGACTCCTGCGCTCCTCCCAATCAAACCGCGAACCCTTTTGCCGGATTCGGTTGTCTCGCCGCCTCTACGCAGATCTACGGAATAGGAACCGGTCGTGTTCTTGTTTTGTGAAGCCAGAGGCCACTCGGTTGGGGAGAATGGGGATTCGAGTCGGTGAGAAGAACAGAGATGGCGGAACAGCAGAGCGCATAAAAAGGGTTTCTCTTTTGCTCGGAAATACGATGAAAAGGATCAGCTGATTGCAGAAGATTAAATCGTTTAAAGAGGAATCAAGAGGAAACCAAATGGAACAGAAGAAAAGCTGGCGCCTTTAAGGGCTTCGTCTCCTCGCTGCTGTCACCTCACCCCTATTGATTTGGGAAGGTGCCAGAACAGAACAGAACAGAAGATTTATTGCATGTGGATCCTTGTCTATTGATCAGGGATTTTTTCCCCTAAACAAAGTAAGAAACATGAAGCAGACCTCGCCAACGACTGCAGTGGAGAATTACAAATGGATACGTTTTTAGTTACAGGTGCACAGTCCCAGTTCATAGAGTCCCCGCTCCACAGGACAACCGTGGTCCGTGGGGATGTGTCGAATAGTGCAGGACCAACGTATACCTTTTTTTCTCCCCCTTTTTTTATATACATCACCAACAACTGTTGAGGAGGGACATTCAAAATTCTGTTGTTGTGTTGCTGTCAATTTTCCTCATCCATTTGGTGAAAACATTAAACATATACTGGCCATTTGCTTATTTACCCCAAGCTGTAACATCAATCCATCATCAGAAATTTGTTTAAAATGCACTTTTACGAGGCGTCCAATATGTAACTGCTCATGTACTTCAGCTTTAGACATGTTCACTTTCGGTCTTTCGGAGTAGTATATATCTATATTGTTGCGGTAGTGGACAATTTGCATAACAGATTAGCGATATTTGCCCAATTGGTTCAGGTAGGACCGTAGGAGCTGGACTCTGGAGTACCACATGATGCTTAGCTACCCTAGCAACCAAACTGAGATCTACGTACACGGTACACGACTACACCCAGCGTCGCCCGGCACGCAGAACCCAATCATTCAGGGCCCCTTTGGCATACGGGCGAATCACATGAAAAACTGAGGATTCATTCCTATGAATTTTGCTGACGTCATCTTTCCTTTGGCAACGAAGGAAATCATCCGGAGGACTCAATTCCTATGGATTCGTTGTCTCACTGTAGCACAGGAAAACAAACATCCAGGTCGAGCTTATGTTTTTGCGCAAAGTCCGAGGCAACGGCTCGCGAGCAGTCCATAGGAATCGACTTTTCTTTCCTTTCCTACGCCTGCGGATTCCTCCGTTTTTCCTTTGCTTTTACTCCTATCCAAAGGAGGCCTCATGGGGAACATGCTCCAAACACCTCGTTTCGCAACCCTACCCGACGCCCACCCAGCTCGAGAGCTAAACCAACCGCCACCGTCACATGCCAAGGCCTCCGTACAAGCATCTATTTTGTTGCATGCTCGCAACGCATTAAGCATCCTCTTCCTCCCCGATTCTCCATCGAACAGGACATGATCAGGGTCAAATGATTTAACATTTCTTTTTACTAGCACTGCAACGATAGCCACCAATAAGCAAAGAACAGCTCGATATAAGCTGCAATTATGACCAAATCCAATATTGTTGAGATAATCATGGCCAAGTTGTCCTCACGTTGATCGCCACCAATGATGATTAGCAATCTATAATAATAGCCGTGTTATGTCCCCATCACTAGAAACGAGCAGCCAACTAAGGCAGAACACTTGCAATACAGGAATCACCGAATCATCTTATCATCATCCTCTAAAGATATAGAGAACATCTCTCCATGTGTTCAACGGTTGGGGCAGACACTTGGTACATTGGTGACTCCAGTCCACATGGCACCAAGTTAAGAGAGAAGAATATCACAGCTACATGACTTGTTGTATAAGGAAATGTCAACTAACATTGTCTTTGGATCAAAGCAATTTTTTCTGTGAACAGGGAACATTACATATGAGCATCACCGACAAGCAAAGGCCGAGTTCAAGCTCTTCTGACGAGGCTACTCAAAATCCTCATTGCTCCTTCCAGTTTTGCAGAAAAACAGGTTTCGTTCCACCATATGATATGCCTATATTTTCTTAATGATCTGAACAACGTCCTCATCCTCAAGCTCATGCTCCTGCACAGATGGACAATGAATCAGTGGAAGGAACCTAACACCCGGTGTGAGTGTGACAATGCAACATCATGCTGGTCTAATGCACACCTTGCCAACTCTCTGAGGCTTATGCTTGACGCTGGAACCCCATACCAGAGCGCTGCAATTTTGGTAGCAGTTAGCAACGAGGGCCGAAAAAAGAGTAAAAAAGTTATCTGATAAATAGCCAAACAAAGATTCCATGCAAGTGATACGATAACAAGATAATTATCTGGCACTCACTATTTAAACTGTTTGACCATGTCCTTGTGGATTCTGTTGCAGAAATCTTCCACAGTTTTCTTCTTAGATGATACGATAACAGGATCCTCATAATCTGGGTTCAGCCCTTTAGGTTTTGTGTATATCCTAACCAAATCCAAGTATTCCCATACCTTCTCCAGAAGTCCATCAAGATTCCATTCAAGATGAGCACTGCAATATTATTTTTTATAAAGAAAATAAAGTGCTTTAGCTATTAGAGGGAAATCAAGAGAGAGAAATACAGCAGGATACTACAGTACATGCTCACCTAACTGGGCAGTAATGGGGAAGTTTGTCCAAGATTTCCAGCTCTTCAAGTGTTATCTGATCAATCTTGTTGACAACATATATGCAAGGAGTGTAAATCCTGCTTCCTTCAATAACATCTATGAGATCATCTGCTGTAGCATCATATCTCAGGGAGACATCAGCATTATGTATCCTGTACTCGCTACAGATTGCTTTTACTGTATCAAGGTCCAATTGTGTGTTCGTCACTGTTGATGTGAAGTTGATTCCGCCCTTGTCCTTTCGTCTGAAAGTCAAATTGGGTGGTGTCTTGTTCAACCTACCAAGAACAAAAGGCGCAAAGATCTTAAAAACATTTTAAAATAAGAAGCAAAAACTCACAAAACGAATGGAACTAGTTTTAAGGAAACAAAGAAGACACAAGCCGCAAGAGAAAATAGAACATTGTATTAAAAAGAGCATGATAACATAGAGGATAGAATTCAGCATGATTTAGTATAAATAAATGAGTGCAGCATCTAGGAAATGGATCAAGCCATGTAGGTAACTGATAATAGCTAAATGATGTCTTCCAGATTGGGAGCAAAGAAAAGATCACAAGAGGACTGATGGCCAAGCTGTGTACAAGTTTCATACACTAGCGCCTGCAAAAGTATGGATGTAAACAAGACTTACCTAATGCCAAATCCTTCAAGCTCCTTCTCGATAAGACGCTTGTGAGTTATTGGTTTTATAGCGTCAAGAACAATCAAAATAACATTGCATGTCCTAGCTGTGCTGATAACCTGTTAAGCCACAAAAATAGGAACTTTCAAGCCAAGAGGAAATGGTCCTGAACACAAAGAACAGGGAATAACACAAGAAATCCAAGACTGAAGTGTTAGCAGCTATTTGATTTGGAGAACAACTACTGGGTGTGAAGTGTGAAGACAGCTAAAAGCCTAAAGCAAGTACGGATCATAGAATAGAACTGTTTCTTAGTGAAGCATATCAGTGTAGTATGCATAAAAGGGTAAATAAGACCAGATGATGTAGCCTTAACAATCAACAAATTAGCTTAATTTCTCATCTATGATACAAGAAAAAATTGCTTAGATTGTACAAATTAATATTCAAGGCTAAAGAAGTAAGAACTCATTTGAGCCTCTAGCACTGAGGAACATAGCTAGTTAGTTGCCCAGTTTCCCCTACATATTTAGTAAGGCTGTGCACTCTTAGCTACAAAGTGGAATTTTTTTATAAAGTAGACAATTTTGAAGTAAGAAGTACTGGTGCAGGTTTGTGTAAAAATTGTAGTTATGGATGATTTTACAATAGATGAGAGCTCAGAAGAGTTCCAGAATATGTGGATGGATACTGTTCATAGAATACTATGCAATGACCCAGTTATGCCCATATAAGTAAGGCAATTTTCCCAGCAATGCAAAAAGAAAAGTTTTTTTTGTTGAAATCATGTCGATTTCAAGGAAGAAATTAGTGTCAGGAAACTTGTAGATGTTGAAATGACCTGTCTTCCTCTGCCCTTTCCATCTTTAGCACCTTCAATGATCCCTGGGAGATCTAGAAGCTGAAATGAAAGCCAGATATTACTCAAGATGAAACATGCTCAGAAAAACTTGTAGCTTTCTGAATGCAAATGGTTACCTGGATTTTAGCACCCTTATACATGATAACTCCAGGAATACATGTTAAAGTCGTAAACTCATAGGCAGCAACCTTTGAAACAGAAAAGGAACAAAAACAGCGCATTAGTAATTTAATATACAGAAATCAAAGTAATAGCGTAGGAAAATATTCAGCTGTATGAAGGTCCAAAGAGCAATCAATCTGAAAAGACTTCTTTCTAATAATTCCATTTCAAGAAGGACAGGCATAAAAGACTGAATTCAGAACATGCATGCATCACTGAAACCAAAATCTAACTAGGCTGCTACTCAAGCTAATATGTATGTGTAGTCCTTCGGAGCATACCATAGAATTAGACAGCGTATATCTTAAAAACATTGTGCAAGGTACGAACATGAGGTTTTCCCTAATACAATATAGATGATGAGCAGCTAAATCTGGACAAACCTTTATTAATTACTAAATCTAAACAAAGAGCATTGATGCGGCAAACCTCTGAAAATGTCCCTGTCAGCTTGTTCAATAATGTTGATTTCCCGACCGAAGGAAAGCCAACTAAACCAACACGCGCATC